AATTGTCTCTTGTCATTACTTGTATTTTCTTTTTAATTATTCAATTGCTGATTTTTATTAAACCACGTGCACATCCATTCCGGTTCCAACAGGGTCAATCAGAATTCTCTGGATGGTGCAAATTTCTGTATCAACATTATAAAGTATGAGTCTGGCAAAGTGGTAAACATAGAGTTGTAGATCTTCAAGTAAGCTTTCCAACGGTTTAAGAATCATCCAAATCTGAAGTCTGCAGCTCAAGTTATTGTCAAGATATTGAAGCATATTTCAGATCGTGCGGCCAGATCTTCAGCTTCAGATCGCGCACCTAAATCTCCATGCTTTCTGATCGAGCTATGCTCTCAAATGAAGCTCTCCATGTTTTATGATCGAGTTGTGCTCTCAGATGAAGCTTTCCATGCTTTCTGATCGAGTTGTGCTCTTAGGTGAAGCTCTCCATGCTTTATGGTCGAGCTGTGCTCTCAGATGAAGCTCTCCATGCTTTCAGATCGAGCTGTGCTCTCAGATGAAGCTCTCCATACTTTCTGATCGAGCTGTGCTCTCAAGTGAAGCTCTTCATCCTTCTGATCGAGTTGTGCTCTCAAATGAAGCTCTTCATGCTTTCTAATCGAGTTGTGCTCTCAGCTCAAGCTCTCTGCACTTTCTAATCGAGTTGTGCTCTCAGATCAAGCTCTCCGCGCTTTCTAATCGAACTCTTCATGTTCTCCAATCGAGCTCTTCATGCTCTCTGATCGAGCTCTTTATGTTCTTAGATCGAGTGTTTTATGCTCTTTGATTGAGCTCATAAGCTTGCTCATTCGCTTGAGATCACCTGTTCAAGATCTCTCAGATCCCACCAAGCATAATTCGAGCTCTTTAGTTTGAGACTACAGCCTGTAGTGTGACAGCAATTTAGATCAAAGACATGAGTTTTTAAAGTCCAAACTCGTACTCCAAAAACTGGGGGGTTATTGTTGTGCGGGGAATCTGGAGAGGATAATTCTCTATTAGGAGAGAAGATATTTAGATTTACTCAATTTAGAAGGAAGATATTCAGATTGACTTGGATTCCAACTAAGGTAGCCGAAAATCATGCAACTTCCTAATCCTACGTATTTGAATCTTACCTCAACTCTATCATGTAAATGGGTGCTATATAAACCCATCAGAACTTGTTTTTGGGAGGCGGGGCAATTATTTTAGGAAAAGATTCATCATTTGTAATGCTCATTTAATAAGAGAAACAGTGGACGTAGGCTCCAGATTCAAACTTGCTAAACCACTTTAAAAACTGCCTCTTGTCATTACTTGTATTTTCTCTTTAATTATTCAACTGCTGATTTTCATTAAATCACGTGCACATCCATTCCAGTTCCGGCAGTGTCAATCGGAATTCTCTGATTGGTGCAGATTTCTATATCAACAAGGTGTTTTAGAGAAAAATTGAGACCACTAGCTAAAGGACTTTGTTGTGCTATTTCAAAGTTTGACTGAAAGTTTATACCTGGAGTAGCAAATACAATACAAACTAAGTGTGAGTTGTTCGTGTGCGTGGGTTTGTGAGTGTTAAGTTCTTAACTATTATATTTCGAAGGTCGTTATTGAAGAGTCTTTATCTGCAAAGTTTTAAACCCTCGGTGGAGAATGTGGAAGAGAAGAGACAAATCTAAAGAAGTTGTGTGAAGCCAGCACCTACAATTGTGAGTGATTGTGTCAATCATGAGTGAAGTATTTAGTAGGTCATCCTATGAGTATTTGATAATTTAACTTCATAGTGGACTTTTACTTTTCTTTTGTGGTAATTGGGTTCCCTGTGGTTTTTCCCTAACCACGTTAAAAATCGATGTCACGTGGATGTATTTTTGATTTGTTTGATTAGATTAATCCTAAATAAGTTGACTAATAACTAAAACATAATATGCTTTAGATTGTAATTGAACATTTATTGAATGCTAGGACTTATTAATGGGAGAACGACATTTTCCCATCCAAGGTTTGACGAAACAACACTTTTTCACCCTTTAAGTTTCAAAATGGCACTTTTCTACCCTTTGTCAAGTTCTGTTATTTATTTTCTGTTAATATTTGACTGAAAATACGAAAATATCCTTAAATTGTTTATTTCTTAATTAATTTATTATAAATTGAAATTTAGTTTAGTCAAAGTTTTTACTTGATTATTTATTAATTCAAGTGTAAAAATATTGTTTTTCTTTGTTTATTTATTTAATTAGAAATATTGATTTTCTATGTTAATTAGTAAAAATGAAAAATAATATAAATTAGTAAATTATTGAATAATAGTGATGGGATATTGATGACATTATAAATAAATATTAAGGTTATTTACCTTTAAACAATTCCATAACATTATTTCTAACTTTTTAGGTGGGGCTAATTATTTTTTCTTTTTTGACTTTTTGGCTAATTAAAAATAATAAAAATTTTATATAATCAAATATTTTAGGATATTTTCGTATTTTCAGTAAAATATTAATAGAAAACATAACAGAACCTAACTAAAGGTGGGAAAGCATCAATTTAAAACTTGAAAGGTGGGAAAGTGCTGCTTCGCTAAACCTTGGGTGAGTCCTTCCCCCTTTATTAATGAACTAGTAATTGATCTGGATGTTCAGAATTTATTCATAATCATGTTAATTGATTAAATAAGGAGTACACGACTTTTTCCCACCCAAGTTTTGGCTTAAAGACAAGTTTTCACCCGAAAATTTTCAAAATGACAGGTTTTCACTTTCCACCCATCCATCCAATTGTTCCATTATTTTTAACCGCTGAAGGATATAATAGTAAATTCAGTTTATTTTAATCTTTATCTCTTTTTTAAATATTAAAATATTTAAAAAATTATATAAATAAATAAAAATTTTGAAAGTAAAAAAAAAAAAAAAAACAGCGATTGGTCCACAAGTTGTTAGCCAACTGCTGCTGGTGGTTCTCAAAACCGTCCACGCCATCGTCGGCACTTTTGGGTGGATCTCAGGTCGATCTATCCAACAGTGCAAATAGGGGAGCCATTGTTGACGGCATTTGGCCGGAAAGTGGTAAACGTTTCCCGCTTTTATGGTCAAACACCGTCAACAACGACTCCAAAACAATCAAAAATCAACCACATCACCCGCCTTTCCCTTAGTTCAAATCATGGCCGCACCCTTGTGGATTCGCCTCAACGCTAGTGGTTGCTGAGATACTACAGAAACGAGTTCCAATCTCGCTTTTTTTCTTTTTTTTTTTTTTTTTTTGTCTCTTATCGACTGAAGGAGGTTAAGATTAGCGGCGAAGAAGGAGAGGGGAGTAGATGTGAAGATAAAACTGAATGGTGGTGGTGCAGGTACTGGTTTTGACGAAAAAACTTGAAAGAAAGGAGAGGTATTTGGGGAGAATTTGGGAAGAAGGAGAGGCAGGAGAGATGGAGAGATCCAATGGAGAATGAGTGATATGTATGAAGGAGGGGATGCAACTGGAGATGAAGAAGAAAGGTATTGAAATTGAATGGAAAGAAACAAAGGAGACGAGATGCAGAAAAATCCACGTCCAGAAATAGTGTGAGAAGAAGGAGAAAGAAGAAAGAAGGTTTTTGTTTTTCAACTTCATATAGGGGTTAAATGACATAATTTTCCTTTTAAGTGTTTATGTCCTTATACCGTTAAAAATAACAAAAAAATTGGATAGATAAGTGAGAAAATGTCATTTTAAAACTCTTCGGGTGGGAACTTGTCTTTAGGCCAAACCTTGGGTGGGAACATGTCGTTCGCCCTTAAATAAGAGGTGTAACTTAACTTTGACTAATCTTGATTGAAAAGATTAATTGATAAAAGATTTCCAAAACATGGAATTGGAACAATTACAAGGTATTGTTCAGAACCTATTAACCCCCATCTAGTTTATATATGTATATATGAAGTGAAGAAAATAAGAAAATAGTTTTGTCTTGTACACTTGATGTAGGTATTTTCACTTGTCCCTCATCCTTCAATTTCATACCCTTTTTATAGGGAAATTTAGTTTTGGGCAATTACTTATCCCTTACCCTTAAAAATCATGAAGCATTTCCTTGACCATGGCCCCTTTTTCTCTCAACTTCCTTTTTTTTAAGGAAGTGGATTTTATGCTGTGGAACACCTCTTATTTGCCCTTTGAGCTCCTTAAGCCTTTTATTTTGGGTCTAAAATAACTATTTTTTTTTAATATTTATTTATTACAAAATAACTGTCGTATAAGTGTGCTTTCTAAATCAATTTACTTGTTGCATTTTATATATATAGAATTATTTCATCTAAGAACCAATAATTAAGTCGGCAAACATAACTATTTCCATGCTTATCAACATGTATTGCCCATACATTTTGACCTTTCAAGAGGTTGTGTTTTGGTATAACTTGGATTCGCAATCCTCTTCTACACTCCATACATTTGGATTCACTTTTGCCAAGATGAAGAGCAAAGGTCATTACACCTTGTTGTCCTCTTGCATTTTGAGATTTACTTTTTATCTTTTCGGGAAATAGGATTGCTATGATGTGAAGATGGTTGATTTCTCAGTCATAATTGTCTTAATTCTTCTTTCTAACTTCATATTCAATAAGCATTGATAATAATGGCTGAGTTGTTGCATCGACATTACAGAATTTCTATCACTTTGTTCTGTGCACAAAAGTTTTTCTTTTATTTTGGGTAACAGTCATTCCATTTCAGAAATTTTTAGTACTTGAATGATCTGATTTTGGCCTCAAACTTTAAAAAAATAAGTGATACAATAAAATCTATATCATCGTGTTAACAGTCCTAGAAAAGATGCTTCATATATTCGGATGATAGATTCAACGTATAGAATTTGCACTCTTTGATTTGGCAAGCTTTCAATGACATCAAAGGAGCACTAAATTTCTGCTAGAACATCCTGTCCTCAAAACTAAACTGTAATATACAATGGCTAGTTGGACAAACAGCCATTAGCATGCGAGAAATATTTTTCATTTAGCCAAAACCTAAGAAGACGCAAGTTAAAATGTTATGAAAGTATCTTTTATTACTACTTACTAGCACCAGTTGCTCAAAGCGACTGGGCAGTTTTATTTACCAGCACTAATTGTCATCTGAGCTGATATGGAACTATCATTCCTGAGTAAAACAGACCGACTTTTATTACTAGCATAATAAACACATCCATCAATTTGTAATCTGCCTCAAGATGACGGCTAAAATCTACATTTATTTGCTAAATTGTTATTTTCTCCCAAGACAGTTCAGAAACCTTTTCATTGCTTGAAAGTTTTAGGATGCTTAAATCCATATGTCTGAAGTACAGTCACCACCAGGATACCTCATCTCATGGGCTAGGGAAGGACCATCAGGTTCAGCTTTGAAGTCCACGAAGAAGTTTGGGTTTATAGCCAGACCACCCTTCTCAGTATCAGCATCAATCTGTAACATGTGGGATCCCTTCTCCATGAGTTCAGGATAGAATTGGCGATCCCACGCACTAAAAAGTGAGTTGGTAGCATAGAGCCGCTTTCCATCCAAACTTAACTGTATCATCTGAGGTCCACCTCTCAAACGATGTCCCTATAAGGAAAAAAAAAAAAATAGAACTCGTCATTTCATACAAGGTAAAGTATATGGACAGGCCAAAAAAAATATTAGTATTAGTTGAATGTGTGCCTACAACATATACATAAAAAAGAAAGAGCGGGCAGGGGAGAAAAATGTATAATTTCAGAAGTGTATGATGTACAGCTTACATCATATAATTTTGTCACATGTTTATCGACAATAATAACTTGTTAGAAATATTAAACTGCATAATGATGCCTTGTAGAACAGCACTCCGATTGAATGGTAACACATAATCCACTTGCAAAGTAGTACACTCTTGCGTTTATAAAGACTACTTGTCTGGAAAGTTATGCAGTCGACAAGGCATTCATTGCGTTTGTCAACAGCTGCACTGAAGTGACTGGGAAACAAGAAGAGCCAACATGACCTCCCTAATATGCTCAGTCATTTATTGAGTATTAAAGATAGAAAATACAACCACAGAAAGAACTAGCTAGATTGCCATAATACTCCGGCCAGGTTTTTGCCTGAGCAAATAAAGGGTGACTACCTTCAGCATAAGTGAATCTAAATTTCCTGTCATGAAATGGGTACTAGTTTTTTGAGGTGAGGATATAAAGGAACCGGCCAGCCTTTCGGGTGAGGAAATAAAGGGTGATTAACATGAGCATAAGAAGCAAATCTAAATTTCCCATCATGAAATGGGCACTATTTTTCTTTTTTTGGACCTAAACAGAAAACCATCATGTATAAAGCACCTTAACCAACTTTTTTTATTCTGGAGCAAATTATTTAAGTGAGATGATTGACAGAGATACCACATAGCCAACGTTTTAGTTTCGCTACAATTCACATGAGTACAACCATACATCTGATAGCATTAAAATGGAAATGGAAATCACACAAACCTGGATCTCTGGAACATCAGCCTGCCATGTTTCACCATTGTCTTTCACAACCACTACTGGGCTTCCTTTTTGAATCAGCCCGCCAACCCATACTTGACCTGTCAATACAGGATTTTTTGGGTCCTCGATGTTATACTGTCGGATATCTCCATGAAGCCAGTTCACAAAGTAAAGAAATCGATCATCAAGAGAGATCAGAAAGTCAGTTATAAGTCCAGGCATTTCAGGAAGTATCCAATTTTGCACCTTCAATGGTTCCACTGATATAGCCACCTGCACAAGTATTTAACATATTAAAAGTGTTAAGGACTGGACCACTATAACAAGACAATACACCAAATATAAGGCCACACATTCTCTTACAAATGTACTTGTATAGAAATCTTATTTATATACCTCGTGGCTCCATGATCCATCTTGGGTTTTGAAAAATCTCACCATGTTACTTGTTAAGGCACACCCAACATACCCTGTATCTTTAGAGGGATCATGCAGGAACCTTGTCTGCAAATAAGTTTGATAAAAAGAAAATTATATTAATCTATAGTGACAGCAGCCACATATTAAAAGAATGAGATGTACACTTGTTTCTAAAAATTACCTCCAGGGGAATGACTCCAGAACTGCCAAGATCCAATGTTTGTTTTAATTCACCCTCTGGCCAGCTGTATACATACAGATGCTTTCCATAGAGACCATCTGAGACATGCTGAAGGTTGAAACCTTTGGTGAAAGCTGCAGGTGCTCCCCATGATGAGCTGATCATTGTCTTATGCCGCGGTTGGTACCAGAAATCATAGCCAAATTGAGGACTATGCCCTGGTTTCTCCCACCTGCAAAACACGTACAAGCCAAAGCCATAGAGTTACATACTATCTCCAAAACAATTTACTAGGTCCAGAATGCAATATATTTATGATTTTGCATTCATTTTATAATCAAAACAGTACCATCTCCACAAAATGTCTCAAGTGGATTGCAAAATCACTTATGATGAATGTTATAATTCAGCTTGAGTTTGAATCACTGAAAGAATGGAAGGAAAAGTCATAGTGTGAAAGGGCTCAAACTAGCATGATGCAACCAAATCACAACAAAGGGCTATATTAACAACATTGAATTACCTTCCTTTCACATTGAATTCTGAGTCAAGAAGAAGGAAACCATTTCCCTCAGCATTTCCGTCTTTATCTCCAATGCATGACACCATTATATCACCAGAAGCCAGGCAATGGGCTGTGTGTGGATATGCTAATCCTGTTTTCTGTACAATTTCTGCAGGTTCAACGACTTTATGCAAAGAGGGCGCCTTTGGATTTTTCAGTGTGTCAACTGCATAAATGCGACCAGATCTGAAAGGAACAATAAAATATAAATAAAAAGAGGATATCATACAAACTTTGGTACCTTAATATTAAGGTTAGAGAATCTATTGAAGAGATGGTTCCTAGTGCGACATTCCATGAAAGTAAAATTAGTATACATTGCTTTTAACAATCATTCAAGGCACTTTTATCCTGTAGAATGGTTTTAAAAAAAAAATAAATAAATAAATAAATAAATTGTAAAATCACTATAACTGATTTTGAAAATTGAAACTATATTTCTCTTCGAAGTCCAAGTAAATGGCATACAAAATCAAAATTAAATTCATATCAATTTTTAAGGAAAATAAGAGGACAAAAGGTAGACCTTTCAACAGAAGAAACATCAGACATCATCTCTACACTGGAACACACAAGTAAAGAAGAAAGCATGTAGAAACAAGTAAATTTGTAAAAATATATATATCAATTCTCTCAAAGTGATACAGCTGGGTGAACAGGAAAACAAAGGGGAATTGGTGGACCTACCAATATCAGCATCATCATCTAAATGTAGATCAAAGTAACAACTAGTTGTCAAGTAAGACTATCAACGACATGTGTGTTAGGGATAGTCATAGAAGGATATCTATGGTTAAAATGAACAAGTATAGATATGATAAGTATCCATTGCATGCACAATCAAGCACCCAAAATTATTCATTCAGATTATATTCTGACAAACTATAATCCAAATTCCAATTTGACTAATCGACTTGTATAACTACACAAAGAATCAACTAAAAGCCTCATGAATAGGATTCCCTAACGGTTAGATTAGCATTTCTTTGTGGAAGTGTTCCTCAATTCTGCATATAAATTACCAAAATAATTCAAGTTTTATTCCCCATCCCCGAAGAAAAAGAAAAGCAGTTCTCTTACACCAAAGAAGGCAAGACCAGAAAACGTCGTTGCGCAGATGAATCTCCGTGGCAAGAGCTGCACGAATTCCATCCAGAATGATGAAGTTCATCACCAACATATGGCATAGGCAGCCTGTGGATAATTTTTGAATAGGTAGATGAGGTAGGATCTACATCCACTGTGGATAGATAATCAGGCTTCTCTCTTCCAGTTCCTATGTACATATTGAACCATTAATAAGCCACTATAATACTTTGCAATTAACAAAATTGGTCTGAAAAAATATTGGGGATAAATCCACAGCAGTAATTTGGAAAGCTCTAGCTCATAGATAACAAGAGCAAAGAAAGGGCTAAAAATTCTATTTCATCTGAAATAAATTAGTACATAGCTGAGACATGGGGGTTTAGATTGAAGTAGCAAGTAGCTCAAAGCATTTCATAGAGGCATAAAAGGTTTGAAAAACAAGAAATTTTACTTTAAACCTCTCTAACACTCTTTTTCGTTTGGCATTTTCTATTCAGCAAATCAAAGAGAGCCAAAAAGAAGCTTAACCCCTTAAACTTCTTCGCAAACCAATTTTCAAAATAAGATCATAGAAAAACAATTTTCAAAACACAGAATAAAAAAGATCCACCTTTTTAACCAACCAAACATCTCAAGCAAAAATTTAAAGAAAAAAAATGTTAAAGAAGAATACCAGAGTAAACACAAGTAACATAGATAAGTTTCTCTCTGGGACCAGCCATGGCCTCAAGTGGGGTGGCATATCCGGGTCCATTCTTGCAGCATCCATTAGCATTATTGCTCACTGAACCGTTATGAATCACCGCAATATCAGTCGCCATTTCTTGTCCACAGTCACAACAACATGCAAGAAGTTGTATAATTTATGGTACTTGTACAAAGATTCATTACTTCTATTTTTGTAGTTTACGGTTTTTTCAATATGTATTTAGTCATCTTCTCCGTCGCGGTGCGATATGTCCAGGTGGGATGTATCGATTTTTGCGCTACTCTTATCGTCTTAAACAGTAATCTAACGGATAGTTTCTGTCCACGTGTATTATTAGACAATCAAAGTCCGTGACCGTGATGCGGGTTTGGTGTTCCTTTTGTCAAAGACTTTGACAAGGGATAAATGCCTTATATATTATTATATGGTTAAGACTTAAGCATGTGAAGATAGGCTTGCTTGAGTTGGAGACATTGGTAATTACATCAATAAAAATGGTATCTTTACAAATACTCCTACAAAGAGACTAATAAAGTAATATCATCCAAAAGAAAAAACAAAAAAAAAGAAAAAGAAAAAGGGAGAAAAATCATAAAAATCAATGATAAAGATTATATCTATATGTCTCATTTGTATTTGTCTTTATAAAATTAACATTGCTCTTACATAGACCTCCATGCTAGAGATACGTCCAACCTTTCTTGTTTCCGATAAGATTACTCTTTATCTCCATCTAGTTTGGAATTATTATAACTTTATAGCTCAATTTTGGAAATAATCACTTGAAAATAACTCCGAATATGTTTAGTCATTAAAAAAATAATTGGATCTGGAGGGCGGTGGTCAATGCCACTATTTCCACCCCTGATGGCCTACAGTTTCCATTTTTTATTTATTTCATAAAATAATTATTAAATTACTGTATATGTTTTGTAAGTGAAACAATATATATAACAGTAATTGAGGTATCTAAGGTTACATCGGAGGCTTAATTTTTAGGGCTATAGAATATCCTACAAATCCAATTAACTAAGATAATTACACAAATATGATAGGTATTTTTCCTACGACTCGAACACAAAATTCTTTGGATATAACGAACCTTAGTGACTAAAGAATTTGTCATCCGACCATTAAGAGAGAGGTTATATAACATAACGTGATCGTTCGGAGAAAGTCGATCCCAACCCCAACCCCTGAAGGGAGAGAGGTAAGTCCAACAACTTTATTTATAGTTAATTTGTCATTTACACATATAAAATCAGCTTTGAAAATAATTTGATTTAAAAGGTGTTGTTACTGGGCTTTAGAATCTTTTTATAAATCTGATCATAATTAGTATAAAGCTTAATGAGATTTAAAAAATCTCAGACTGGATGAATTAGCTCAACCTCTAAATTGCTTTCTTTTTTTTCTTTTTTTTTTTAATATGAAATGTGAAATATAAAAGAAGAAAAAGTGGATACGAATCCCATATTAAACATTTTAAGATATCTTTGACCACATTATTAAATTGAGATTAGATGAATAGGATAAAGAGTGAATGATTTGGCTTGGATGGTGTGAGTGTGATATGATGTGGATTTGATTATTTTTATTTAGATGATGGATTCTATTGTTTCTTTGATTCATAAAATATGATACCTTTAATTTAAGATAAGATAATTAATTTAAGATAAGATAATTTACATCTGTATATGATCTCTTTTGTTCCGCTATTATTGAATACAATTTAAGGGTACATTTTGTGATTTAAATATAATTTTAAAAAACTAACATACAAATTGAAACTTCTAAAAACTCATTTGATATAGGTTTCCAAAATTAAAATTACATATGTAATAAAGAAAATAACTATTTCCAAATTCTTTCCCACATTCATTGAATTGTAAAATATTTATAATCAGATATTTATGTCTCAATTTAAGCTAAAACTTCAAGGGGTTTGCTCCCCTTGTGATTTCGGATTCAAATCACAAGAACGGCTGCTAATATTGTTGGCCACGAACCACAGGATTTTCCCTGTTTCAGAAGCCTTGTTCGGGGTCGGAAGACTAGTCGAGATTGCACGTAAGCTAGCCTGGAAACCCCCGGTAACAAAATATATATATATATATATATATATTAAAAGGTTGAGGGAATGAATCAAATATGAAGTCCAGATTAATCTATGGAAAAGCTATATTCCAACATATGAGAGCAAGAAGTTAATATAATAGTTCATAACAAATGATGGTCGAAAAATCAATTATAAACTAAAACAATGGAAGAACGAATATGTCACAGCCTTAGATAGGACTTGAACACACTTAGAATTACCAGAAATCATTGCAAGAACACTTTCCATCCTTAAAATGATGATATCTGCTGGCATCTCGCACAACAATTTCTCTGTTTACAATACCGCTGATATGTTTCAAAACGGTATGACAATCTCCACAAACACGAAGATTTTTCACTATCCGTAAGACTGTCCCAGGAACACACTTTAGCAACCCATAAGCCACAGCCACCCTCTCACTATGCCAAAACAGCTGCTTCTCCTTCTCTTGCTGATCCATGTCATGTAATACCGAGCTAATATCAGGAACATAACCCCTTCTTCTCATTTCACCATCTAACTCCTTTAACAGCCCGAAAATCTTATCCTTCAAAGGATGATAAGGCTCCCCAGCATGAAACACTTGGCTTTCCTTTCCAGTGTCAATGCAACTATATCCCGGCTCCTTTTTCACTTCCATATGTGCCATCAACCTTCTCACCTTCGATACATGCTCCCACATAGCAGCACTGGCATAAACATTTGATAACAATATATAGGTTGAAGGATCTTCGGGTTTTAAGCTCAATAGCTGATTAGCTACCCTTGTTCCCATTTGGGTATTCCCATGCTGCTTGCAAGCACTTAATAAAGCTGCCCAAGTAGGTTCATCGGGCTTGAATGGCATTGCTTGAATGACATTCTCAGCCTCGGCAAGATGTCCAGATCGACTAAGAAGATCCAACAAACATGTATAGTGTTGCAATGAGGGACTAATCCCATAATCATCAGTCATAGATTTAAAAAGTTTACGGCCTCTGCTAACCAAACCTACATGACTACAAGCATAAATCAATCCAACAAAGGTCACTTCATTTGGCTTTACTCCAGCTGAAACCATCGCATCATATATGGCCAATGCTTCCTCAGCTCGTCCATGCTGAGCTGCACCAACTATAATAGAAGTCCAAGAAACAACATCCTTTCTTCTCATTCTCCCAAAAATGTTTTTGGCTGCAACAATATCACTACATTTTGCATACATATCCACTAGTGCATTACTTATAAACAAGCAAGACTCATAACCAAGAGCTATAACAAGGCCATGAATCTGCTTTCCAAGCTCCAATGAGGCTAAATTAGCACAAGAACCAACAATGCTTGAAAGAACTAAGGGGTCTACTATATCAACCCCTTCTCTTCTCATTTTAATAAACAAATAAAATGCATCAGTTCCATTGCCGCTGTGTACAAATCCAGATATCAAAGCAGTCCAAGAAAACAGATTTCTAACTGGGACTCTCTCAAACATCTCAAGAGCCTCATTTTTTCTTCCACTTCTAGCATACCCATATAACATGGCAGTCCAAGAAACTGAATTCTTGAACTTGATAGAATCAAAAACAGCCTGAGCATCATCGGGTAATCCACATTTTACATACATATCAACCAAAGATGATTTAACAACATCATCATCACAAAATGGCGATATCAGAAAACGGGCATGAACTTGCTTGCCTTGCCTAGGGGCGCCCAAGCTAGCGCAGGCCTTAACCAGGGTAGCGAATACGAAGTGGTCAGGCTGCAACTTATCAAGAGTAAACATAACGGGGAAGATGGCGAGAGTTTTGTGAGGGACATTGGCTTGGTTGTAAGCAGTGAGAATTGAAGCCCATGAGACATGGTCTCTGTGGAGCATTTCATCGAGCATGTGATGGGCGTCTTGAAAAAGGCCACATTTACCATATACGTCGATAATGGTGTTGGGTAACCGGCCACATTGAGTTAAGCCAAGTTTGAGAATTTGGGCGTGAAGTGATTTGGCGGTAAATGGCGTCTGTTTTCTGGCACAGGTTCGTAGTTGGGGAAGATAGTGAGAGATTTGCATTAATCCGCTCCTGCTTTTGCATTGTGTGGTTTTAGTACTTATTTTACTGAACAAAAGTAATTGATTATTTACACTTTCGTCCTGAAGGAGTGGAGTAGATTCACTTACGAACATTTTAGTCCAATTAGGTGAGACTTTTAATCAAAAGTCCATAGTACTCCTATTGTCTTATCAACATAAAATTAAAAAAATATTGAAAAAGGTAAAAGGTTATACTGTACAACTAAACAAATTTCAATTTTTCATGAGAGTAATAGTTGATATCCAAATATAATATAGATAACTTTTAACACATTATAAAACTTGTTTAATTTCATATTTATGAAACGATCAAAACATCATTTAAGTATCATTCATTATAATTATAAATACAAAAATTCATTAAACGAAAACTCAGATTGAACAACATAAAAAAATTAAAAACATTCAACTTTTTACCTTCTTTTATATTTTATTCATTTCTAATAAAATGTTAATAAGACAACAAAATTATTATAGAACTTTAATTAAAAAAATTCACACAACTATACCTTATACTTACTGTACTTGACGCAAATGGATCCAAGTAAAGGCTTGGATTCTCTTAATACAAGCTATATTGATTGCAATGTTTCAATAAATTGAGTTGATTTCCTAAAGCTAAATTGTATTGTTAAAGATAATTTTATTTTTCCCTTAATATTTTTGGTTTTCTCTTTGAGCAATACTACTCTTACAAAGACAAAAACAAAGAGGTCATACAAAGATAATTTCCACCCTTCATCTTCATGATTTCTCTCTCTCTCTTTCTTTTTCCGTTTTTTCTTTGTTTTTTCCTTCCTGGTGATGTCACTTTATAGCTCTCTTTGTATTGTCTTTGTAATGATAGCATTTTTCTTTCTCTTTTTGGAGTTTTTATCCATTGTTGAGTACTACGTGACAAGATAAATTATATACGTATATATCTTTGATTTGGATTATTTTGAGAAGGTACATGAGAAGGTAAATTGTAAATATCTTCAATTGAATTATTTTACAAATACCTTTCCAAATACGATTAGTTTCTCTAATTTTGTATCTTTCTTTTTCTTTTATCTTTATTGAGATATTGTTAACTAAAAGCAGTAGCAGTTATAGTATAATAATAAAACACTTTTAAAAAAAAATTATGTTACCATTGTTTAAAAACTATTTATAAAATAATTACTATTATCAATAGATGACAATTTTTCAAATAAAAAAAGAAAGAAGATGTACATTTAATTTAAATATAAATTTCCTCTGTCAAGTTCTGTGTTGTTTTATGTACGTATCATTTACCAATTCAACTCTTCATTTACACATTAAAACCACATAAAACAACATATTACTTGATATAAAAAATTAATATATCATAATGACATATTATTTGGAATAGAAAATTTAATATCATTTGGAAAGTTTATTATTATTCAATTTCAAAACACACAACAATTGGACAAATTTTTAGTTACATATGGATAAAACAATAAATCTATAAGAGTAAAATTAAGTTTAATTTATAAATAAAATAATCAAAATCTAGAAAAAAAAAAAAAAATTAAAACAACCAATACAAATTAAAAAAAAAAAGGGTCAAAAGTAAAAAACATCAAAATTTTTAATAAACTAAAAATTTTTCATTTAAATTTATAAAACTTTTAAAATTTGTGATAAAGGCTCTTTCAAAGTTCATCAAATAACCTTCCCTAAAATTTCATAAATTTGTCAAAACCATTCCGTGCAAACATTCACCAACGAAAAATTGAACTAATGCAATCTCTGCATTTTAACCAAATAGTAGAAGACGTCAACTAATTATCGTAACTTGTAGGGCATTTCACTGAACGAAAACCCAAAATCTTATGACTTAACTTTCTAACAAGAACAACAGGATAAATAAAAACCCCTCAAACTTCATATGAAACAAGAACAATCTGTATAACAATATTCGGGAAAATCAAGAGAGAAAATTACACAAATAGCCGTGAAATTCATAGCTTGGATTTAAGATCACTTGACATATTACTAATATCACATAGTTTATTCAATAGATTTTCATGAACATTATGCCTACAGTCGTATATTTAGCTGACAGATTACAGTTCAACACATAAATGAGTGTAACAATTGCAACTAACTTGAATGTAATGACGATGCTAGTGTACAATAGACAGGGCCTTGGAGTTCTTGGGCTATGTCTATGTATATTATATAAACCTTAAAATTTTTATTTGGTATACAAAATATATCATTGGTCGGAAATTTACTTGTAAAGATTCGCTATTTCCTCCTTATATAGGGTTACAGCTCTGTCCCTTCGAATTTTCATGGTTGGGGTCATCAAACCATTATCAATCTGCAATCAAGGGGTATAATAAAGCTAAAGTCAGATCAAGTTCAAATGAAAGTCATGATTGTACTGCTAGGCTGAAAATTTTACCGTAAAAGGCTCCTCCACGACAAGGAGTGGTCCGATCTGAAATGAACACTTAGCAGTCCTGCATAAAAGAGAATTACCATAGATAATGATATACCAAGCGAGGCTATAATATGTTACTAATTTTCCCAATTTCAGAAAACCTTTCAAGAATTTCTGTAATTCATTTATATTCCTATCAAAAGATATCAAAATGAAGCTGAAAAATGAATACAAACAATGGAATAGATAAAGTAAACATAGCTATCCTAACACTTGAAAGCAGAAATTAGAACAAGTCATATTCATGCAAACAAAACAGAGAAAATGACACATCTATCACCATATAAATTCTTTCCAGAAACTAAAGGAATAAGTCAAGTTGAGTATTACCACTTCCTAACTTCTTCATATAACAAACTGGTGACCTTTTCCTTACTAAGCTCACTAGCATTAGCATCTATGATGGACAACTTTTTTGCTGTAATAAGCACCTCTTCTTTGTTTGGAACAATGATAGCTCCAAGGCGGCGTTGATCCTATAGATGAAAGATGTCGATTGATAAAAATTAAAAACAACTCAAAAGTGGAAACCACAGATGATTAAGAAACGATATGCAGAAGCTGCAAAAATATAAATGAAAGATATGAAGAAAAACCTGGCCAATGACAACAATCTGCTGAATAAGGCTACTCCTCAAGGCAGCTTCTTCGAGCTCTAATGGTTCAACATTTTCACCTAATTTCTCCCAAAGGAACTTTTTTAGTCAATGCAAATCTTAACAAAAGGAGAGCTAAAAATTTCAAAATATTAAATATAAGAACAAAAAATTGCAAGCTACTTTGCAAAAGTGAACCAAACAAACCAAATCAAATGACCCAAAATGTACAAATTATCAAAATAAACGAGCATGCAATGCGACTATGTCAACAGCACTACACAAGTGGGCAAAAAAGGACTTTTTTTTTTTTCCAATCGAAGTGAAATTGTCCTTGTTTAATTTATTCCTCTGAAAAGAAAATATTATTCAGCAGTACGTATATAAAAAATAGCTTAATCATGACAAAGAAAAAATTAAAAGTGAAAAATTGATATACACTCTAGCAAGTACTTGACACAGAAAATTAGTATGAAAACTCCATAACCAACAGAGTTAGATTCTGACTGACTGAAGCTGTTAAACAAGTGTCAATCATCCATAACAGAAGCTAAGGGGATTCAAATACGTGTGAGTTTCTAAAAATCATAAAATGTTTAATCCTTATAGATTATATGTTTGATATGGGAGCACATCCCACGAAAGTGATGTGTAGATATGACTGCTATGTTAAACTGCACAAAAGGTATAACTGAATCTGTTATCAGTTAGGTACTGTTTCAATGGAAATACATTTATGAAAACATGAAATAAGAATATCTATCTATCTATCTATCTAATTAAATGTCATGCAAGAGAACCTTCAAACTTAGGTATACCTGTTGAAAGAACTATAGTGTCCTTAGCACGTCCTTCAAGAACCACCACACCTCCACAACGATGACTTCGCCCTCTTGTGTGATGAGGAGCAATCCAACCTATATCACCAGTATTTAGCCAGCCATCCTCATCTACGATTTGCTTCGTAGCCAATGTATTCTAATCCAACATTAACACAAAATCATCACATAAGCATGATACATGAGAAAATTATGACAACTTGACAAGTTGTTACACCAATTTATAAACAAACTACAGGGAAAACAGGTAGAATATTAACGATTTCAAAATTTCTGTTGACATTTTAGAAGATTAAATAAGTTGCAACTCTGAGTCTGCAACTTCTTAAGATAACAAGTTAACAACACTCTTCAGCTCAACTACATATGTATAGTCTACAGTACAGTAAACCAGACATACTTTACTCCAAACAATGTTGCAGCCAAGATTTCTTAAGAATAGTCAGAAGAGCTTTAATCAAGAGAATATTCAGAGTTCCATTTAAATGCTGAACTCTACCTCCTTGATAACCATTTATGATTTAAAATATTTACTAAATAACTGCCACAATTCCTAGACTACATTAATCACTGCTCTATTCCAAACAAGATTGACTTTTAACTTGACTAGTTGGCATAATAAATTAAAAACAAAACTCTTTTTTGTTCATTGACTTAACTTTTTGACTCCATATTTACTAACAAAATCCTTTTCCATGCAGTTTCAATGCTTACATTAGAAAGTATAAAGTAAATACTTCTAAAATGAATAAACATTTTGGTATGCACAAAGAAATTAGAGACAGTTTATGTTATGGTAGGAAAAATATATATGAAACAATCTCTATTCCTTTAAATGATGATGATAGTGAAATTCTTGTACTAAATGAATTGCATTTCACAAACTCTATTTTAACTACTTAACCCCAAGACCGTGGATCCAGTAGAGTAGCATGAAATATACGCACACAATTCAATTGCTATAAAGCTTGGAGGAAATGCATTTTTATAATGATACTATTTGGCAAAGAATACCTTGTAGTAACCTTTCATCACTTGTGGACCCTTAGCTTTTACAATGCCCTTTGAACCAGGTGGAAGAACTTC